AACTTAAAGGCTTTTATACTTATGATGAGTTAGTTAGATTAGAATAATAGTTTAGCTGTAGTATGTATCATGCTGCTTAAATGAAAATGTATTTTTGTTTTTAATTGATTAATAAACTGATAATCTAGTCTGGCTATGGGTACACAAAAAAAAATCGGTTAAAAATTAATTAATTCAAACCTTTAAAACTTTGATCAATTAATATATTCAAAATTTGATTTAACAAAAAATTTAGAATAAATTTGAGATAAATAAAATCTTTTAAGAAAATTATTATACTATATATTTTTTAAAAAACTATTATATATAGTAATAATATTAGTTTATAAATTAATTATAAAGTTAAGTAAATCTAATACATTTTTTAAATCTTAAGATCTTTATAAGAAAAAAAAAATATTTTTTTATTTAATTTTTTTTAAAATAATTGAGTTTAAGGTTTTAAAAAAAAAATAAAATAAAAAAAATAATTAATAACTAAGGTAAATATATATCAAGAAAAGTTATAAAGTTTTATTACTCTATAAATATAAAGTTTGAGAGGAATACTCTTGTGAAAATAGCAATCAAAGAATTAGTGGATAGAGTTTCCTAAAATTTTTTCATTAAAAATTTTCTATATTTATTATTACAACTATAATATATTGTTACTATTTAATTATTTATCAATATTATTAATTATAAAGTAAATCCATAAAAATTTTTAAATTAAATTAAAAATTAAAGATATACAAGTGTGCTATAAAAATAATCTAATATAAACATTTTATTTTACTATTTTAAATTTTCAAGTTAGGATATCAATTTCAAATAATTAATTCTGAATTGTTTTTTCAAACAAATCTTATTGCACTATATTCTAAAATAGTTTAAAAATATGTGATATTTAAGCTTCTTTTTTACGTAAAATAAGATGGTATAATTTCTTACCATACGCACGTATATAATATATTGCAAATTGTATAAATAATCATGATAAAAAAGAAAATTTGTCAAATGATATAAATTATTACAAATAGAATCACGCTTCAATATGATCGACATCACGTGCTGCATATTCATTCATATGGAATTAATGAAGAGAATGAGTCCATAAAAATCCCGAGAAAGGCAAAAATGACAAGACACATGAAGATAGATTGATAAATATATCTTTTGGGTTTCTCTTTAAGATTAATCATGACGAATGTTGTTTTAGACAATAAACTCAATAACTTAAATTCCAATTATTTTTCAAATCATTATATCACTTGTGTGCCAGCATCACTTGATTATTCATACGCGCGAAATTATGATCTCAAATAAAATCAACCCTATTCTATTTTAATTCCGTACAAATGTTTGTCAGACTCTATGCGCTTGAAGTCTCCTCGCCGGTCATTTTTCCAATATCATCAATGGCCGCGATAAATCTCTTGCTAGCAATTGATTTCTTACCGTCAATGTTGTAAAACGGATTACAAACTTGATTGATGTAGGCAGTGTGAATCTTCCGGAATATCTGGACAAATGAGGATACAATGAGAATAATTAATCACTTGTAATAATGAGAGTCAACCAATTACATGCGCTACTTTTTTGACTTTACGTTTTTCATATCCGAGTTTTTAATCACCGCATCGGGAACCGAAAGGACCACCACGAATTTTACCCGAGTATTTGTCAAGTATCCGTACCTATTTTTCATTTGTTTAATGTCATTCAAGAATTTAATCGCGATTTTGAAAGTATCCACTTACACTGCTAGATCTTCCATTGCATATAATAGTCCGAGATAAGTGTCCGCCGACTCGGGACCCGCACTAACTATTGAGTCGTTGGAACCAGTAAATGTGAGAGTTCACAGATAATTAAATGATCAAATCCACCGTTCAATCCCCGTTTAATATCATGTAAAAACGTTACTTACTCCTTTCTTCGATAACGTCACAAGAAGTATGTGCGATATAATGATATTTTAGATCAGGGTGTGCGGTACTGAAATTTTTAATATACAACGGATTGTTCTGTTTTACATAAATGGTATTTATTTAAAAAAGTTGTCGTCTCAAAGAAAGAAAAAAGTTGTCTGAAACAAACTTACCATTTTGCCAATAATGGCAATACACTGGATCTTAATATTATTCATTGTAATTTCTTTGAGATGAAACAAAAATGTTCAGATGATTTGTATTTAAATATTTGAATTGTGTAATATATCTTTGACAGTTTTCAATTATAATGACATTGATAATTCTTTTCTTTTTGTTTGGTGAATAGAGGAATGAAGGGAGGGAAATGTGTGAAATGGGACAAGGAAAATTAATTCGTTTTCATGGATCAACGAAAAGATGACTGAAAGAAATGGATCTTTGTCAATTCTCTTTAAATTCGAAAGGTCAACCGCCAATCAGAAGATATGCCACTGTTTCTGAATTTCATGTGACACAAAGTCACGGTTTCATTTTCCGCACTTCCCCACAAATTTTACACGGGAATTTGTGTACATACAGTAATATTCCGAAGATTATTTTTGATATCGGGATTGCGTTTGTTAAATAAATGTCAGGTGAAAAAAAAAAAAAATCAAAAATTTTGACCCTAAAAACTCTCGTTTCTTCAAGGGGGAAATCGGAACATGGCGTTTAAATATGAGCAATTTTTGAATTCCATTGGATTATGCACGTAGCGTCCTGGAGATATTGATCCAATGAAAACGTGTTTTATTTACATGTATGTACCGCACACATTTTGAAACATCGAACTACTGTATGTACGCACGCATAATATTCTGAGCAAAAGAAGAAATCGAACACGTCACCATTGCCGACTCTCCTCCGTCGCCAATGATAATTAATTAAACCAATCGAGCGAAGATCTTGTAAAGAAACTCGTTTTTTTTTTTTCTATCATGAAAACAATGTTCCATATATAACAAAAAGTTTCATTGCACAAGGAGAGAAAATGTCTGTGTGACCAACACAATTTCTGTTGGGCTAGTTTAGGTAAGTATGTGAGATGTCACGTACCTTTTGAATTCCAATTATGGTTACGTGCGCATGGAGCAAATTTTTTTATATTATTTTATTGTCTAATATTATTATTATTCTTCTTTGTATGAAATAAATATTTACACAGGCGAAAAGTTTTTTTTTTTTTTTTTTTTTTTACTCGCAGCTGTCACTTTTAAGCATTGTGATCCTGTGTTTGTCTCATAAAAAACGTCATATTTACATTTTCATCATCCTCTTTGTCACTAAATGTCTTTGATCAATTGGTGATTTTCTTTGGACTTTCATTGCCCATCATGCTTCTACAAATGTGATAACGGATTTATGCGTGCACGTAATAAAAGTTTGGAATTTTACCGGTATGTATGTACGTGACTACTTTTAACAATAAGTTTTAATTACTACGTGTTGCATTTTACTTTAAAAGAGAACCTCAATAAATTCATTAGTTGTATCAATGGACCTCTTTAAAGCGCACTGCATAGTATCACACTCATTTATTATGCGGACAAAGGGAGTTTCATGCATTTGTGAAATCATTAATTATCACATCCCCATACTAGTATGATATATAAGAGCCGCCGATTTCCAGATGATACCGATTTTTTTTTTCTCTTGCAGAAACCAAACTCACCCGCCCACATTAAACTTTTTTCTTTTGTTGGTTTTCTTTACTAAATTTTTTTTTTTTTCTTTCCTCACTTTCTGCAATAATCTACAATTTTTCTTTTAGAGGCTGGCCGTCGAAAAAGAATTTTTTATAAAGAATTAATAAGTAAAAGAGCCCGCAGCAACTCTCTTCGGCAAAAGATTCTCTACAAAGGCCGAGAATTTGCTTCTTAAACGATGGCTGACGTTCAAAGTAATGTTTCCCACCAAAAAGACTTACCCGAAATTCCATTTCAATATCACCCTGCATATGATGATCGATACCGAGGGGTCGCAATTTCTGTTTCCGAAAGAGATACATATTTCACCAACGAAGAACAGAGAACCGAGTACAAGTATGAACCTTCCGAAAATACAGAGAGGAGATATAGCCAGGAGGATATGATGGATAATGATTATAATGACTATTCGGACAAAGAAGAAGATAATGATGATGAGGAGGTTTATTCGGAGCCTGAGTCGCCCGTAAAACAACAACAAACGAATGATGATCGACTTCCTTCGCCGCCACCCTCTTTGCCCACCGAAGAGGATGACGATTGTGACGAGGAAATAAGAAATGTCATTGCAAAAGCTTCAATGCTATCTCAACAACGAAAATCAAAAGTATTACCGTCAATACCTCCTTATGTGGCAGACAAACAACAATCATATGCACAACAACAGCAGCCGCCATTATCTCCTGCGCATCAAAAACGAAAAAAATACTTTAACCTCGGAAAATCGTTAACATCTCGTCTGGTCACGAATGCTCCCAAATATAAGTTATTTAAGAAATCGCATGCGAAAGATAACGATACCAATAACAACGCTCGTCGTTACATAATTTCCAATCCCATCCCGATATCGGAGACACCCAAAGCATCACTACTTGATGCTCTTCCCACGCTTACTCCCTCCTCTCCAATATCCCATCAACTTCCTTCCGAATACTTTCCTCATGATTTCAAAAAGGAGGAAGAGGATACTCGTTCCGATACATTAACCACCCCAGATTTAACCATCGACGATCTTTATCATTTGGTTTTGAATATGCAAAAAGGATTTCAATTGCAAATGAATGAGATGAATATGCAAATCCTAGAGCTAAAAGCGGAAATAAGACAGTTGAAGGGTGAAGAACAAGAGAACGAGAATGAGGAATTTACGGTACAAAGCGTGACCGGCACTGCGTCGAGTGTACGAAGTGTTACCCGGCAGATGGAAAGATATGGTGGAAGTGGAAAGTGGTTCCATAACGAATACATATAGTTTCCCCAATCAATTGTTCTTAGTATTCCTAATAATATCTGTCGCTATATTTTTTGACACAATGTGAGGACATTTAATCTCGTTCGTGTGGCATTTAAAAAAAAAATAATAATAATAAGTTTCTACTTAGGTACATAAGAGAAAGATGATTTTACTACAAAGTTTTTAGATGTAGAACGTAATCTTACTTTCAGATTAACTTAAAGACATAAATATCAAAAAAAAAAATATATTTTTTTTATTTATTTTAAAATCATCTGCCTCCCTGAATATTTCCGTCTACTTAATAATAACATATCTCCCGTACAATTTAATCTCGAAGTTTCGTACAATTCTAAGTTAAATAGCGTATGCAAGGAGGTTTCTCTCTCTAGGATCTAATTGGTGTTTGATTTCTAATGTATGCAAGTTTATCGCCCTGATAATTCGTATATGTCAAACATTAAAATCATTAAACCCGTGGTCTAAAAATTTTTTTCTATTAATTGAAACCATCTTTATTTTATGTCATTTAAGTGAACTTCGTGTCAATCCTTTCAGATATCTGCTGTACATTACTTTTTTTGTTAATTCTCGTTTCACATTCACTATATTATGTCATGATTTAACGTTACTTCTATTTTTAGTGTTTTATATGTGGGTCGAACGCACTATCCGAAGATTTGATCATCGCAAATTTAATAATAAAATGACTGCATATTTGATCGATCATCCGGGTTGTACTGTTATGCTACTTTGTTTCAACTTTCGATAATATTATTTGATTGTCCAAAGAATTATTATTTTTCAATGCAATTGTATATACTGTATTTATTGCATATTTATCTTAAACAAGATAACTCCGTTAAGTTTAACGCAATTAATTATTACAATTGATTAATTAAAATCACGTTTTAGCAATTTTTTATTTATATATTAAATCCGATTAACCAATAATAATTAATATTTCAATCAAAAAATTAATAGGGGGTTTTTTTTTTCAATGTTTATAGCCAGGTTAGACTATAGTTTATTAGTTAATTGAATACATAGGAACAATTCATTTTCAAGTCTAATAGACTTGTTATAAACAATAAAAGCTTTTAAGTTTAATCTTAAAAAAATAATATTCTTGTCTTGTAATAAAATTTGAGTTGAAACCTTTCTCGATTATATATTAAATTGTAATTTTTTATTAGTTAAAGATTTATTATTCAAAACTTATTTATTTTATAGCTTTTAAATATATAATAAATTAACTTCATTCAAGAAATAAATAAAAATATAACTTTCTTTTTTATTAATAAAATTATTAAAACCTATATTATAATTAATAAATATTTATTTATATTATTATACTATTGATCTTTCTTTTTTTTTAGAACCTTTTAATATAAATAAATAAATAAAAATTTTGTGGATTTTTTTAATTATCAAAAATTAAAGTTTATTTAAAGTATATTTAAAAAATCTAATATTATATCTTATTTTGTCAAATAAATTAATTATGCTTTTTTAAAAATAAAACTAAAGTTTTAAAAAAGAGAATTTAATAAATAGATATAAAATGTTATATATATCATATATAAAAATAATAATTGTTGTCTTTAAAGTTGATTTTAAATTTTAAATTAATAATAATAATAAAATTTTTTAATAATTAATTAAGTTTTTTACAAAAAATATATTTTTAAAAAATTATAAATAAGTAAATATTGATAAAAATAATTTTACTTAATTTAAATAATTAATTATTAAAAAATAATAAGTTAATATTAATATTTATATAATAATTTTTATCAAAAATAAAATATTTATGACTTTATAAATATCAAATATATTTCAAATACAAAATAATTAATGAAAAATATAAAATTTTAATTTTTAAATACAGTATTATTAAGTTTTTTAAATTGAATTTCTATTTATTAAAATAATGATTTTTAAAAAATTTTAAAGTTTTTTTTTTTTTTTTATTATAATCCTCTGTCAGGCTAGTTATGTGTACTTTATTGAACAATTGTAAGCTATATATTATATATGTGTTACTAAAGCTAAATTTCTAACTAACTCACTCATCAAAGTCTTACATTTAT